CCATTTCTTGGCTATTGTAAATAGTGCTGCGATAAACATAGGGGTGCATATGTCTTTTTGAGACTGGGCTCCTGCATTCTTAGGGTAAATTTCTAGGAGTGGAATTCCTGGGAGGCTGATGTTTTCTTAAAGAGCAATGAGAACTCCCCCTCCCCTAACCCTACATCAGGAGAGAATCTTCAGCAGAGCGCTCAGCCACCCTGTGGCAGATTGTCCTTGACATTGACGGGTGGAGGTGAAGAATGAGGGTTCTGCCTGGCCACTGGCTAATACAACAGCCCAGAGGACAGCCACCTGCCAGCCCTGGATGAATCAGTGCACAGTAACCCCCCCTCGGCAGACTCTCCAGACTGCCATCAGTAAGCAGGGAACCTCATCCAGGTCATCTGTGAATCGTCCCCTGGACACCCCAGCATCAACACTCTCAAGTTGGTCAGCCCAACCCCCAGAAGGTCACTGCTTCTCTGACCACTTCCACAGTCCCTGGAGTTCCCTGGAGCACAGCGATCTCTCCACAGCCAAACAAGGTCTTCTCAGCACGGGTGAGTTCACCCAGTCCCACAGAAGCAGCGATAACTGCATGCCAGGCTCACACCTGCAGTCCATGCTGCCAGGACACTGCAAGCCCAACAGCTCCCAGCCACGGCACCCCTGGGGTCTACTACCCCAGGCCAGCAACTCCAGCCCCCTAAGGCTCTGCTGTGAGTTCCCAGTGTCACCAGGCCCCAGGAACATCCTGTCTCTGCTGCTGTTTCTCAGACTCGGAGGCTTGACTACTGGTGTTTGCTATAATCTCCTGGGTGATTCCAACCCAGCACCAGGCTGAGCACCACCCAGCTGCTATGTGCTGCTCCTTCATTCGGGCATGGACACAGTTGATGGGCCAGGGAGACGGGCACTGGATTCTCAGGTTCGGGCCACATTTCCCCGCCTGTCAGTCTTCTCAGGCGTGTCTCAGCTTAAAGCAGAGGGGAGCAAAGCACGTGGGTCCTGTGGCTCCTCCACCAACTGCCCTCCACATGTCCCACAGTCTGCAGATAGGGGGGCTAGCCCACGCCACCCTGACCGACCCTCCCGGGTCATGGGATCACCATGCCCTCTTCAGAGGTGGGGGAGCTCGCCCACGGTCAGCCGGAGCTGGCCTTGACCTCAGGCGTCACCTGTCCGTGGACACCCTGTGGGGTCTGCACTGGGAGAGACAAGGCAGTGGACTGTGCTGCCTCCTGTCCTTCCGGAAGCCAGGGATTGGGGGGACATGGGGGAATGGGGGTGGGGGGTTGGTGGCTGGGCTGGCTGGTGATGCGGTCACACAGCCCGATCAGTCTGGGCAGAGCCTGGTCCACGTCTGCCCCACGGGGGGGGGTTGCAGCGGCTATGTGCCTGCCCCCCTCCACCCAAGGCACCCCCAGCCGCAGGACAGGGCACCCCTGGGACAGTGTCCTCCTAGAGGGGAAGGCGCCTTGCGCCGAGTGCTGCAGCCACGGATGCCTAGTCCTCCTTGGGTTTTGCGGGCTGCGGCCGGGCCAGCCTATAATCAAGGTAGGTGCCGAGGCAGGCCCACAGAAGGAAGCGCGCTAGCAGGATGACGGCCAGCAGGACAACGAGCGGGTCGGGGCCCGCGCTGTCCCCCGGCCAGGAGGCCATGCCGAGGGCCAGGCCTCGCGGGGCAGCAGCGGGTCCGGAGCGCCCGGCCCCGGGCTCCGCCCAGTGCCGGCTGTGTGGCGGGGGGGG